ATCGACCATCCTCCTCTGTGTGCCTACACCTGCGAGGACAAAGGGAATTGTGACAATTTGGGGTCTCATTGTGTGGCATACATACACATATACAAGTGACCCAGTTTCTTAGAGCGAGAAAGCTATTTTCTGCAATTTTGATGGTTTTTTTTAGGAAATGGCGGCCATATTGGATTTTGACCTAAAAATGCGTTTTCGCCGGGTCAAATTTTAATCCACCGTCCAGATTCTGAATCAGCAGGTCTTACTGCATTGAAAAATGTAAAAATTTTGTGGGGAGGAAATTGTGTAGGGTTAACTCATTTTTTGGGTTCTGGATCCCGGACTATGGAAACACGGCTCAGTATAATTACCTTCTATCCATTTGTACAAAAACAGAATGGTGTGAGACAAGGTTGTCCACTCTCTCCCATGCTTTTCAGCCTTAACACAGAGTGCTTGATGAGGGAGTGGTATTTACGCACAATACACCTCAGTGCCCCGACGTGAGTGGTTTCCACATCAAAGAGTTGAGATATGCTGATGATCTGGTCTTGATGGCCCTCTCCAGAAAGCATGCCAAGGAGATGCATGCCATCCTTGGTGATATCTCACAGGAGTATTACCCATCCGGGTAAGACAAAGTACCTGTTTATCCAGAAAACGATAACAGACGAGACAATCACTTTCCGTGGAGCCATGATACCGCGCGTCCGCAAGTTTCGCTACCATGGCACAACAATAACTCACAATCTCAGTGACAGCAAAGAGGTCCGGGTACAGATAGGGATTGGAAAGGCTGCACTACATAAGTGCAAGTACTTAGCATCTTTGTGTGTCTCCCTTGATACAAAGTCACAGCTTGTACAGTCATTAGTGATTGCCAAAAAAAATATTGTATAACTCCCAGTGTTGTAGTTGAGGCCACAACCTCCGAGACCAAGGCCACAACCTCCGAGGCTGAGGCCAAGGCCGAGGCCACAACCGCGAGGCCAAGGCCACAACCGCGAGGCCAAGGCCACAACCTCCGAGGCCAAGACCAGCTATTAAAACATGTAATACAATATAAATTACTCACACAAAGTTAGGATTTTGTTGAATTTTTAAATCTCTTTATTTGAATTCACTGAGTTTTGGAGTGCCTGGCTTCATGGCCATTGCATCCAAATCGGATGATCCGAGAATTTTGATGAACTGAGTCATAATCATATCATGCACGCACGTGGAAAGCTGAAGCGCAGGATAGACAGGCTTTGCGTTGCACATAACGGGTTGGTTCCCTGCCATTATCGCTTTGGCTAAATGTCCACTGCACTTGTGACGTTCACTCGTTCAGGGACGAGTGTGGCTTAAATTTCCAGCGTTACTGGCTAATGACATCATTTGCGTGACCGGGTAGATTCGCCAGGAGCACTGGAACGTAGCCCCTGACTTTAGATGGCGGTTTTTGCTTTTTTGGTTGATATTTTCAATTTCTTACAAAGAAAAACTCTCCTATGACTGTAGATTTATCCTTAATGCAGCAGAGGATCCATGCAAAATGAGAAAAGAATCAAGTTGAACAAGATAAACAGAGATATTTTCGGTGCAACTGCGGGTGTGTACAAAAAAATTACCCGTTCCATTAACGTACACGCATGCCGCGTCTGCGGTATGGCCGTATCATAAATTATGTGGGGACATAATCGCATCCGAGGATCATTCAGAACAGCCAATCACAGGGTGCCTCAATTAGGAATGCCGAGTAGAACATCCAATAGCCCTTGGTCTACGGGACTGTACTGTGTATGTAGAATGTAATACTGACCCAGCGGCAGTTACATGTCCTACTCAGCATAATCGAGGCGCCCTTTGATTGGCTGTTCTGATCCTCGGATGCGATGGTGTCCCCGCATATGATACGTGATTCATTTGTGCGGATATGCTTTTGTTTCAGGGAACCCACTGTGGCAGATTCTCGAAGGTTTGATACGGTAAAAATTTCAAATAAATTGAAATAGAAAACACATCAAAGTGGGCGGCCTAGAGCCTGCCTGGACCGATTCGTCGAGGCCGGAAGGCTCCGAGGCCTTGCACTCCATCTTCCCATGAGGGCCCTGTTCAAAACTGACATAATGGTCAATGTCCGACCACTTTATGCCCAGCAGGTCAGCTGCCTTGAAGGTCAGCATAGTGGAGTTATCAGTGTTGGAGGTCTCAGGTCTCTAGGCCGATTTTCATGGCCTCGGCCTTGGCCTCTGAGTGCAAGGCTATTAACAGTACTCTTCTTTTCAGGATTCGACTGTATTGTGTCATAATGTTTTGCATTCTATTGCCTTTCCTGTACCACCGGACACATATGTACATACAGTTTATGTCCAGGCGGGATACGGTCTACTGAGGCTCGGCCCCCCTAACAGGAGCTGACATCTCGGGTAACATGTAAGGTAATTATATCCTTAACATGCAGATCTCTTGCTTGTTCCCTGTCCACCCTCATGTGGAACAGCCGATGCATCTGGGGTTACATTTTCATATTTCGTGCCCCTGTGAGTAAACAATAGCATCTCCCATGACCCACCGCCATGACGCTGCTATTCTAAGTTGATTGCTCTACAGGTTAGCTGAGTGAAGTAGACTCCCCCACCCCTAAAGAAGTGTGGTTGGGGTCTACGAACGGATACTTACCTGTAGAGGATCCCTCCCTCTTACCCCACTCTTCTCGATGCCATGAGTATTATGACTTATCGTTCAAGAAAAGAGGATGCTCATGAGTCACGCATGCCATGGGGTATTATGGGTAGGTTGCCAGAAGGTGCTATTGTATAAAACTCTTATCGGGAAATACTTGCCAGTATAGGGAATATGCATATAAAGTAGATTGCTCTACAGGTAAGTATTCGTTTGTAGACCCCAACCACACTTCTGTGGGGGGGGGGGATGTTACAACCAGTAAAAACTGCACTGTTTGCCACGCAGCACGTGGGTTGTTCCCTTTGAAGTTTTCTTCCAGTTTCAGCTGATAGATTTACTTTGTCTTCTTAATGTGCTTGTCGATCTCCTTCAGTATGAGTTTATCCTTGTATTCTATCAACGTCTGAGTCGGGAATAATTTGAAGGTTCTGCAGGAAATGCAAGAATCTTATATTTTTGTGATCAGATCTACCAAGTCGAGCACATACTTTTTGATATATTTTTGCTTTTGCAATGTTACAGTAACAACGATCAAGTGTTGTTTCATTGCAAGAATGCTGTTGTACATGAAGGGGGTAATAGTTAGCCATTTGCGAGTTAAATTTGAATAAAATCTGGAAAGCTGACTTAATCCAATGCTTGCCCGTTTTTAACTTTGTTTTCTCCAGACCAAAGAGACCGCTACTATATCTCATGATTCAGGGCAAGCCTTATGCTAGCAACCCCCAGCTCCGGCATGGTCTGGTGTCTTTTGTGCCATTGTCACCCATTGTGAACAATGTATTGGTGTTGAGCATCTCTTACATAACTATGCAAGAATCCGAATCATGTGATTAGCAACAATTGGTCTGACGAATTCAAAGTTAAAATGTGCCAATCATTCTGAGTAAGTCAGTGTACCAGATTTTTTTTTTCATATTTAAATCCCAAAGGGTATAGGTCACTCGCAAATGGCTTATTGGGGAGGGGGAGGAAACTAATTGAGGGAAGGGGCAGGGAAAGCATGTGGATGAGGAAAAGGGCAAAATTGAAAGGGGGGGGGCAACAAGGGAGGGTCAGCCAGGAATTTCTGGAACATGACATTTCTGAAACAAATGACAACATCTGAAACAAATGCCTTGTTGGATGTTGAGACCATGTGGTTCAACCATGGAGCAAGGAACAGAAGGAGTCAGAACTCTTGGGCGATTTACCTTTTTTCACCATCAACATTCCAATCCCTTGAGAATGTCCATAGCTAAAGCACTGTTCCTGCAAGCCTGGACCATTCATTGCGTGACTGTGTTACAACTGATAATGTAGTAACCATCTGATAACATATCACCAACCGATTATGTCACACAAATTGACCAATTTTGTAAACCGATAATGTAACCAAAAATGACGGATACTGTAGTAAATGTTAAGACATCAGTCAATTTTTGTTACGTTATCAGTTAGGACTGTAATGCAACAACAATTGACTAATAGTGTAGTACTTTTTACCACACTATCGGTCAATTTTGTGTTACTTTGTATACAGTATCGGTCAATTTATGTGACATTATCAGTTGGTGATACATTATCCGTTGTTTACTACATTATCAGTTGTAACAGACTGCAAGCAGCCTTTTTCTACGAGGATTGTCACCACCTTTTTAGTTGAGAACCAACAACCTCCCTATAGTCATATGTCACGTCGTTGCTCTTTTTTGAAAAGAAATTTTTTAAGGCTGTAACAACTGCGCAGTTGCTAGATGTGAGTTATAAAATCAAGTTATCGATGTACAGGTGTTGGTCCTTGAAAGCACTATCTGTTCCTGTTATTTGAAGATAAATCGATTTTTTTTCGATAAGTTATGTCTTTTCGAATTTTTTTATTGGCAATACATCATTTATGAATTATGACATTTTGAGAAATTTCCTATTAAAGGTTTCCTACGAAAGGCATAGAGCATATTTTGTTCGTCATGAAATGATCGTTTCAGTGATGTTGACCATATTGTGAGCCAGTATTAGCCAACTCCGAACAAACGCTTTGGTGCTATCTGCAAAGCAATGCAAACTCTTTCTTTTAGCATTAGTCGCGCAGTGACGATCATAATCACTTTGAAGTAGGGGAGTTCTGACTTCTCTTCCCTACTCCATGGGTTCAACAGTCCAAAGACGCTTCATCCACACTTTCTCTCTACGGTCAGTGAGCAACTTGCAGCAGATTTTACTGGGGGACATATAAGGGTAGATTCTGAAACAGGCAAAAGATTGGATATCATAGAAAAACACAATACTCATACCATAGGTGACTGTGCAGGTGAATTAGATTGAGAACACAATCTTATTAATTCCATATTGAATTTCATACTTTATAGGTTCTGATGTGTGTCCTAGGTGCAGATCCAAATGCAGTTTGTACTCTGAACCACTGGACACCACTTCATTTTGCAGCAAAGAAAAATATATTGCCAGTCATTGAGTAAGTGTCAGGAATTTAGGATTTAGGACCAGGCTTTTGGGATTTTTTTTATGAGTAGGCCCCTGCATGTATGCTGTATGTTCTGCATGTATGCTGTATGTTCTGTGAAAGCTGAGCAGAATATTAGGTGTTTTTCTTTAATGAATTTTTAAAGATTCACCATTTTTTTCTACATATACAATTAAAAAACAAATATTTTTAAATCTAATACACTTCTAACTTTGCACAGATGTTGGAATGTGATTCAATTAAAGACGTCATCATGTGATTTTGACAAATTTCTCTGAATTGATAAGTCTATGTGAAATAAAGGTTGTTGGTAACATTTATTCTCTATTTATCATGGTTGAGAATAAGTGTGGGCAGGAGCACCTACAAGTACAAATATTTCAGAAAACAGATGGAAAATTCTGTAATACATGTTCTGAAACATGGAGAGAAGGGTGGGGGAGGAAAATATTGATTGCACTGTGTCACTCTACTGGGTATTACTATCAAAATGCTCCAAACACAAGTACCCCCTCAACGGTAAGGAAGGGAGAGAGAGAAATTGTGTGCATATATCTATGACCTAACAAACCTAATACAAAAAGAAATTTGAATGTAGCATGTTTTGTTTTTGAGATATCCAGATGATATGAAAAAAATTGAAAGATAAACTATAGATTGTGGCTGTGAACAACCACAGAGCTGTTCCCAAAATGATTTTTATTGCCTATTTGACCATAAAAATTGATGAAATCATTAAAAAAACATAAATTAATTATTAAAAATTATAACCTTTCAAAATTGCACTTCCGGTAAAACCGGAAGTAAAAGGGTCACATGACTTTTACATTGCTTGAAGTACATTTTCGGTCCAATATGAGCAAATGTTCAAAGTACTGGAGGCATACAACTTATTGTCTTGTTGAGATATGGCGGTCACAATATTGCCTCATTAAATATTCTTGACGTCATAACATGAGAACAATAAATTGCACATGAATAATAATGCAAAATATTAATCAAGATTGAATGTTGCTTCTTAATATTTTAAGGTATCAACCCCATCACATTTATATTTCACAAGATATAATCATTAGGGTCAAAAATAAGCATATCTGGTAAAACCGGAAGTGAGGGTCACATGACTTTGATATTGTTTATATCAATTAAGTATTCATGACATCATAACATAAGAACAATTAAGTGCACAGTAATAATAATAATGCAATAATAATTATCTGTTAATATACCGGTAGCTTTGTATTAATGTGAAGTTTCAACCCAATCAGATTAATAATTCCTGAGATTTGATAAAGGGGTCTGAAATTAACCACTTCCGGTAAAACCGGAAGTGAAGGTCACGTGACCTTGACGTATCAATTTTCATCTATAACGCTTCCCTGAATATATACACACCAAGTTTGAGACCAATCGGTCCAATAGTTCAATCGTTGTAAGACTGTAAAAAAGAACATTCAAATCGATGTCACGTGACCACTGATAACGTCATGATGACAAAAGGTTTTGGCATACATCTTCAGATGATGGTTAGTGACTATGCTGAGTTTAAAGTTGATAGGATTTAAAATAATTGCCAAAGTGGCTTGTAAAATAAAAACGTGTACAAAACAGATGGGAAAAGTGAAAGAAGAAAAAAAGCAAACAAACAAGCGATTGTGGTTGTAAACAACCACAGAGCTGTTCCCAATTTTGATTGTCTATTGGACCGTAAACAAAATTATCTAATAAAATTGAAATTATCACCTTAAATAATTGCACATCTGGTGCAACCGGAAGTAAGGGTCACATGACCTTGACATTCCAGGAATAGCATTTTCAGTCCAATATGAGGAAATGTGCAAATAACTGGCATCGTAACTTTTTGTATTGTTGAGATATTGCAGTCACAATTACTACAGTCTAATTATTGCAATCTAAAATTAACACTTCCGGTAACACTGGAAGTAAGGGTCACATGACCTTGACATACCATTTTTCACTCTAACACTTCCCTGTCTATATACCTACCAGGTTTGAGATCAATCAGTCAAATAGTTCTATAGAATAGACTGTAAATATTCATTAAGTATTCATGACGTCATAACATGACAATAATTAAAGGTTATTTGCAGACCTTTCTGGAAGAATTGCTGTTTAATAATTTAAAATGTGCCTTGGCGTGTAAGTAACAAGACAAGGGGTGATAAAATGGTATAAAATGACATTAATTGGGGTTAATCAGCATAAATGTAATGGCCCCCTCATTAACATGTTGAAACACTGACAAATGGTGGCGCTGTTCGTGACATACCCGTACATTTGGTAACCCAAAAAAGAAACAGCATTATAGTCTGGTACCTGACCATACGTCTAGATACCAGATAAACCCTGCACGGTCCCGCAGGTCACGGCGTGCATGCAGCATGTGATCCGCGTACGTACAGCAGATTTTTTTTCAGACATGGCGAGTGAAGACGACAGGTGGGGGAGCTCATACTCCACAGAATCGGATGAATCCTCGGTATCATCGGGTCCTACTTCGGAAGAAGATATTTCAAGTGACGATGTACATATTTGGTTCAAAACAATCCATTATAGTCTGGTACCTGACCATACGTCTAGATACCAGATAAACCCTGCACGGTCCCTGACTGATTCTGCATCGATTGTACACGTGGCATCATGCTGCACGGCCGGTCAGCCGGTCGAGGTGTCCCCGAATGTACGTCACGATTTTACAAATTTTACATTTTAATAAGCTACCATTCTAGGGGTGGGGCCATTTCCCCAAAACACTTTATATATTTTTTATCATATTTATTATTCAAACAAAAACTTTGATATACTGGAAATGAAATCACTCAATTAAATATATTCTTTCATTTCAACTAATAAAAATTACATTACATGGGCCCTTTAAGTGCACAGTAATAATAATGCAGTGTTGTCAATATAGCTTTGCATTAATGTGAAGTTTCAACCCAATCAGATTAATAATTCATGAGAAATGTAACAGGGGTCTTAAATTACCACTCCCAGTAAAACTGGAAGTGAAGGTCACGTGACCTTTACAAATCATTTTTCATCTGTAACACTTCCCTGATATACATACCAAGTTTGAGACCAATCTGTCCAATAGTTCAATAGTTATAAGACTGTAAAAAGTAAACATTAAAATAGAGGTCACGTGACCCCTAATGATGATGGTTAATGACTCTGCTGAGTTTAAAGTTGATTGGATGTAAAAAAACAAAAACAGTTGCCAAGGCAGCTTGTGGAATAAAAATGGGTACAAAACCTATGGCACAAAGTGGAAAAAGAAAAAGAAAGGAAAAAAAAAAGGGAAAAAAACTATAACAAAACAAGAGCTGTTCCCAATTAACAGCTAAAAAAGGGAGAAAAATCTTAACAAAAACAATAGCTGTTCCCAATTTAAATTGGAAACAGCTAACTAGAGGTTGTAGTTGTGAGCAACCACAGAACTGCTCCCAATTTTGATTGTCTATTGGACCGTAAAAAATTTGGGGGATTTCTCCCCCCCCCCCCAAAAAAAATGTAACTAATGAAATTGTAATTATAACGTTGAATAATTGCACTTCCGGTTTACTTCCAGTTAAACCGGAAGTAAGGGTCACATGATCTTGACATTCCAGGAATAGCATTTGTAGTCCAATATGAGGAAATGTGCAAATAACTGGAATCAATAGGCCTACTTATTGGGTGGCATGGGTGGCTTGTGCGTAAAGGTGACCACGGTTCGAATCCTGGCCGCGGGTCACATGTGAGTAGAGTTGTGCGTTGGTTCTCTTCTGAGTTGTGCGTTGGTTCTCTCCTATGCCATGAGGGTTTTCTCCGGGCCCTCCGGTTTTCCTCCCTCCGGAAAAATCAAACACTTTCGATCTCAGGCTGTGCTTCGTGGTCATATATGGGTCGATGTGGCCGGCAGCCATAGGCGCCTTTACGTGCCAGCGGCCCGACCACGTTGTAGCCGCGTCCTTCGCAATTCAGCATACCAGCTGCCAGTAAGGATGATTAGCCTCCCAAATTATTATTATAATATTATTATTGTATTGTTGAGATATTGCGGTCACAATATTGCCTCATTAAATATTCATGACGTCATAACATGACAACAATAAACTGCATAGTAGTAATACTATAATAGTGCAATATACTAATCTTTGAATATTGTTTCGTAATAGTATAAGGTATAAACCCCAACAGCTTTATAATTCATCTGATATGATCATTAGGGTCTAAAGGCCTTTTCACACTGCACAGCCAATCCCCGGGAAATAAATGCCCGGGAAATTCCCGGGATTTTTTACCCCACCAACACCCCAGCAACCGTTCACACTAGACACATTTGATAACTCCCGGGGACACTATTTCCCGGGAATATGCACGATCGTTTCACACTCGCAATCAAACCCCGGGAATTGTGCAAAAGTTTTTAGGCGGACAGTCGGCTATTAATTTCGAGAAAACTTTCAGTTTCTCGTTGATGATGACGTTGAGAAATACGCATCGAGAATTGCTACCAACCTTTCCCCCGACGGACACAGAGCAGGCCCGGCGCCCGGCCAATTAACCCGCTCTTCCGAGCCGGGCCGCACCAGCGAAGTACGATGAAATGTTCCCGCATGCATTGTCGGGAGCATGCCATAAAAACAAACAGGCCTCTTTTTACTACCAATCTTATCAAATTTTTATTTTTAGCAACGACTTTGCAACGTCAAAACAACTTTTCCATCGCAATTTTCTTCGGAAAACATACGGCAATTCGCCTTGCATCATATGGACGGATCATCCAATGAAACCGTAACTAAAGGGGTGCTTTTAATACCCTTTTTAAAGTTTTACATCGTTTCTCGAATAAATTCTTAACAAAAATATATTGTGATGTTGAGGAGCTTCTTTTCTAACATTGAAATGTTTCGAACTTCATAAAGAGAATTTTGTATAATTTTGGAAATGCTGGTAAATATTCTTTAAAAAAAAAGAATATGGTACACCCCTACTGTCAGATTGGTGTTTTGAATATGGGGAACAAGTCCACTTTTCCCTTGTCATTTTCAAGGACATTTTGGTGCATTTTTGGTTTGTATGCTCATGCGAATTTCCATATTCAAGAGCAAATATGTAACAGAAAGAAGCCTCAGTGTTACAGCTATTTCAGCACCCAAAATTGCCAGAATTTTGGATATTTTGCTGTTGTTAAGTTTCTTTGGTGATTCGTTGTTGGGTCAGAACATGGCAGTAAGAAAATAGCAAACTTTTCTAACAAATGTTTTCAATGAACAAATCTGAACAGAAACCCCTAAACTGACTAATATCAGAGCAACAGCGCCTTAGTTTTCCGGAAAAGCATGGACATTTTGAAAGTTTAAAGAAGTGCATTTTTTAATAAAATTAACCAAAAAGGAATATTTTCCATACATTTAAGAGGAGTAGAAATTTACACAAAACATGTTCCCAAGAAAAATTTCATCTCATGGACCGTTTAATCTGCCAGGGGGTTCTTCTGACTCATTGGAAAAGCATCGTACGGTAGATTTCTCAAGGGTGTGTTTCAAGAAGGCCAATGATGCCATGTACTTAATAGCAGTTTGGGATGTTGGCCTAGTGTTTAGACTACTAAGGAAGTAGTCACCTGTTGAATGTTGGACACACAAGCAACTCTCACTTAATAGAATAGCCATGTTATTGCTCTCAACAGACAGGGAACAAACAGTTTTGAGTTTTGATCAGTATTGTAGTCAAATACTTTTTCCGAGTACTGAGTACTGCTGAGTACTTAGGTTACTGAGTACGAGTATGAGTACTTCTACTTCCGAGTACAAGTACAGGTCTCCGAGTACGAGTACTTGTACTTCTACTTCCGAGTACGAGTACTTCTATTTCCGAACACGGCCATATGGCAAATGGTTCATTGTTCGTAATTGGCCCAGGCCCAGTCAGTCCGATATACAGACCCACTCACGGCTAGCTGTTAAATGTGTTTGTCCGGACGTGCACAGAGGAAAATCAGGAAACTTTGATTCTGCAAGCCAATCAACCATTTCAAACTGAAAGTATCGATAAAATAAGGCTGTGGTAAGTCAAGCTATACCATTTTTTTTTTAGTACTGCTATTTGAGTATGAGTGCTTTGATGATCAAGTACAATTTCGACTTGTCGAGTACGAGTACTTTGCTGCCCAAGTACGAGTACTGTCATTTCGAGTACAAGTTCTTCGACATTCGAGTACAATTACGAGTACTCTAAAAAAAGTACTTGAGTAGTTCTCGAGTACCGAGTACGAGTACTACAACACTGATTTTTATATCAAACAAATAATCAATAAGGGTACGATTGTTTTTACATCGGAGAACTAACTAAAACGTTGAATTCAGCAGTCAGTGCTCAGATTTCGGAAAAGTGCTAGCATTTATTTGCAGTGTATGCAAAACTCGCTTGGTAAAAGGAATATTCATGAGATCAGAGACTGCATTTGGAAATTCATTTTCTTGATAACTTGTCTTTAAAAGAAAGTTTTCAATTAAAAATAAAGTTAAGAATACTCAAGCCTTATTGTTAAATGAGATTTGTAAAAAAAATAATTATGAAGTATTTTCAGAAATATGAGGTTGGAAGTTTTGTTGATATTGTCGAGAATTTTTGGTTCATGAAAACTGTGAATTTTCTACATAAAACGACAATGTGCAGAATAATCTTACAATCCGTTGAAGCTTTAAATTCACCTATCTTTGTGTCCATGGTTCATGTGAGTACTCCAAAGAGTCAGGAGCACACAAAATTTACGACTGTTCTGAATGTTCAGGATACGAAAAAATGACGCTCTGAAAGCACGTGAATGATATGAGTGTACATTCGTCATTGGGCAACACCAAAAACCAGCACGCATTTTGACCAATCACGTAACATGACACTCCAGCACATGGGGTTTCCGTATGTCAGGTACCCTGCTCCATGTGTGCTTATGGATTTTGTGTAATCGCTGACTAAATCAATGTGCCCGACTATAGAAATTAATCTGGTGATGTGTCCTCTTGTCTCTCAGATCAAAACGGGGAAGTTATGATTACAAAACCTAGGATTTAGTGGCAGCCAGTTTCATTTTGTTTTGGTACATCCTTTCCTTTCTACAATGAGTTTTGCCAGAAATATATATATATAATTGATATACTGTTAATGCTATGCCTATTTTGTGGGGAGGGGTGAGTGGGTTAAGATTCATATAATAAATCACAATGTTTGGTTATAATAATGTCCTATATTTTTCTTGATGTTTTTCATTTGTCGAAAATTTCAAGGTACATGTACATGATAAAGTTTTTTCAAAACATGGAATGACTTGAATATGAATATACTTCTTTTTTTTTGGAAAAGAGTGAACTTAACACAAAAGGCACAGTTTCTTCAATGTGTCAGGTAGGCTTATAAAATTCCACACCCTGTCCAAAAGCAACTCCTTTTAAAACAATAACAAGCTCCATTCCTTGGCAATAATAGTACTTTGATTTAATTGATTCCTCAGGCTTTTACTAAATGAACGGCATATCAATACAACTTGGCGTGAGAATCCCTGACACCTGATTTGTTGGTTGTTGATCACACGTCATTGAATTAAATATGTGAAATCATGATCCGGTTGCACCACAAAAAGTGTAGTTTCCTTTCCATGGTAAATAAAGTTCCATTGAATAGTCGCAAATTGGACTTCAAGTTCAGGTGTTGTGTCCAACTATCTTGACAGGAAAAACGGTAAATCACTCTACGTACTTGGCCTACAAAGAAAAGAGAAAGGAGAGAAAAAATCTAATCTATCTATATTTGCTGATTTAGGAAGGAAATTTTTCGACTACTTCAAAAAAATTCCTACAGCAAGAACTGAAAAAGTGCCAGAAAAGAATTGTTCACCATAATGACTGAGCAACTCCAAATAGCGACCGAGCTCCCAATAATTTATGTTTCAGCCACACGATGATCCTATTGATGTCTGTGTAATTTCATGCATTTAAAACAAAATTTTTTTTTCTACTTTTTATTAGCTATAATCATACTAAAATAATGCATTATTTACATCAAATTTGTATTGTTCGTACTATAACTGGATGCTACATGCAAAACTAATGGGTAGGAGCCTATTGTCGACATGGTCATGATGCACCCACAAAATATGAACAGAGTTCACACAATCCGTACACTGTAAACAGGAATGACGTCATTCGAATCGGACATTGCGACTGCAATCTGCAATTTTCGCTAATATTTCGCCTCAAAATAATAATCAGCGTCGGAACCTACTGAGGTGGGAATCGTAAGAGTAACTCTTCAACTTTCCAGAAAATGTCAATTTTTGTCCCCAAATATCTTGAAACAAGCAGCAGCAGCAAACAAGTACAAGTACAGGTATTGTCAAAAAAGTTTAAGATTCATATCTCATTTCACAAGGCAAATTAATAACATTAAAGATGAAATAATCAGCAAAAAAGGACATTAATCGATGCAGACATGGGTATCGCCAGGATTTTTCTAGAGGGGGGCAAAACATATTTTTCCCAAAAAATTATTGTATTTCTGAACAAATTCTCGATTTCTCATTTTTTTTCTCTTTTTTTTTCTTCATTTTTTTGTTTTTTTTTTTTTTGTTGCTTTTCCAGGGGGGGGGGGGGGGCAAGCGCCACCCCTTGCCCCCCCCCCCCCCCCCCCCCCCCGATGCCCATGGACGCAGAAGTTATCATACTTTCAGTTACCACCTCATTTTTAGCCAGACACTGCTACGAAACAGGTTTCCTGTCCATTTTTCTAGGGGCACTGCCGAACACTCGCAAATCCTCGTGCAATCTTGAACAGTCTGAGACCGTCATCTCGCTCTAAATAAAATCAACTGTAGCTCATTATGGAGTACGCTGTGCACTAACTGTCAGGTTACCACAGAAGATTATGTTCAGTTACATATTTGAGAGAGTGTCTCAGAAGAACAGAACACGACAGAAACAGTCATACATTGTTCTCAGTTATTAACTACAAACAAGATGCTCTATAACTTGATCTCCAGAGACTAGTTTTCAAAGCCTACTTTGTAATTTTCTTGACCATTACTAGGTGATGGATGTATAAGATTTGAAAGAAAAAAAATACATTTTCAGGTTTATTCACTAATCTCCTAAAGTTAATACATTGTCTTATTTGTATTATCTTATTTGTATTGTCTTATTTGTTGTTTAAATGGTAATGATAACAAGACAATCAATTGTTTTTAAATAGGTCACTGTTCTTTTAATCCCCGTGAGCACTTAAAATACTTAAAAATGTGTTTTTTTATCAGATGTCTTGTGAGAAGAGGAGCTGATTTGAATGTTGAAGATATGTTTGGGTTCAGAGCAGATGACATTGCCAAGAAAGTTGGAAATCTGGAATGCCAAGATGTCATAGAAAACCTGCGGGTTCAACGCTGTCAAAAACTCAGCTGTTTAGCAAAGAAGGTATTAGTAATTAGTAATGCATTCTTTTTTAAATACACAAATGCTGGGATTAGGGTGGGAATGTGTGTGTGCATGTAGTCATACATTACACACACCCCGAGGACAGACAAAGGGAGAACAACAGATTCTTTGTTTTGTTTTGGTTTGCGGTAACACCATGTGTTAATAACTACTGTCACTCAGTGAACATTTGGTTCTGATAAGAACTTGTCCTGCTTATTATCAACTTTCACTAAGTAGCTTTTGGTTCTGATCAGAACAGTCCTGCTTAGTTCTAAAAGTTGCTGAATCAGGCCAGTGCCGGCCCTTTACATGTATATACGACAAACCATAACGCCAAGACTGCAAAGAGCCTGAATCGGGCCACTGCTAGTCCTTTCAGAAAGACAGTACAGGGCCTGAAGAGGCCAACGATATTCCTCTCAAAACCATTACGGCAAGATGGTTTCGAGCCCAAATTGGTCTTTCTGTAAGAACCAGCAGTAGCCTGATTCAGGATCTGTGCCGTCTTTGCACTATGGTTTGTCGTAAAAGGGCCAGCGCTGGCCGATTTAGGCTCTGTACCGTCTTGCCGTTGTGGCTTGTCGCAAGAGGGCCGGCACTGACCCGATTCAGGCTTGTATTGTTTTACCGTTACGGTTTGCCAGCACTGGACCAATTCTGCCTCTGTGCCGTCAACAGGGAACCGCATTGCTGCAATCAAGCCAGCAATGGCCTGCTTCTTGTTTTGTTTTGTTTAAACTATGGTATTGCCAGAACAAGCCCATAATAAGCCAGCACCGGCCCAGTACCATCATGTTTGCTGGGTACATGGCTTCTATGTGTTCTGGGGGGAGGACTGCACCAGCCCCTTAGGGCAAGGGGAAGGTGGCGCCTCTGAAGAAGCTCCAGAAGAACACCAAGTTCCACAAGGCTTTCAGGTAAATCATATTTGCATACCAACAATTATAATAGTCACATATAAGTGCTGTTTTAAATTCATTGTGGTACATGTAGTGATGGCATATTATGAACCATGTTACAGGCAGGTCGGCGTGACATGGATGGCATCAGAGGTGCAGGAGCAGTTGGAGACCTTCACCTGTGCCATGTATGGTCAAGCCCGTGAGACTTCTTTGACAGTGGTAAGGAGCAAGATGCTTGAGAAGATGGTGGGAGACGACCACACACTTTACTACAAGTGGAAGGATGACATGGTTTGCCTGCCTCCCTGTCAGAACTTGTCACTCGTCCCTCATGTGCAGCACGTCAACCACCGTGTAGCCTACAACAGGCGTGCTGCTGATCCTAATTTTGAGAGTCTCAAACCATATGACTAGGGTCAAGGGTGGCTGAAGACAGATAAGGGGGTGCTAGAGCCTGCTGATCACTGACCCTTTCTTGCCCCCATCATTCATTGACCAGTTGGACTATGCTTGACAAAGGTGATCTTTTTGTGGATGCTGAGGATGACCCTTAGACTTCGCCACAATGTCACTTGTAATATAAAGCTCAGGTTTTTTTCCTATAATGTCTGGTTCAGGAGTTACTAAAGTAATAAATGTCCATCTCTTGTAAGGAGGTCAATGCGCTAAGGTGTGCTTATTTCACTGGTCCTATGACCTTGAAGATGACCTTAACCAAATGACGAAGACCTGAAATTGACACATCCTATGACTTTGAAGATAATGACCAACCATGTGAAGTTGACATAAAATTGTCTTTGGGTTAATAAGTTAATAAGAAAGTGTTCAAAACAATATAGCACTTAGTATACTGACCATTCTGTAATTTCCAATATCAGACCTACTATTTTTCTTAAGTAATGGCCTAACTCTAGCAAACTTCAGTTCAGTGGGAACAGTATTACTGGAAATGGACAAATTAATGATGAACGAAACAGGGTCTCGTAGTACATTAGCACCATCTTTAAGGAATTTGACCGGTTTATTGTCTGGACCTGTACTCTTGTTAGAGTTTAATTTGAGCAATTCTTTATACACAAAATCAGTAGTTACAGCAGAAAGCTTAAAGAGGTTGTGGAATGCTCGAAGACATTTCCGTCATTTTTCGGGTATATGTAGTCTAAAGTGTGATGAAATAAAAACAACTATTGTGTCTGTCATGAAATGAGTACAAAAGGTACTTTTGAGAGCTGTTTTTCAGGTCCTGTTTCGACCCGAACGTGCAATTTGTGTTAAAGTCGTCGTTGGGGGCAGCAAACAAAACAGTAAATCGTGACGTAATAAACAGGAATCGCGATGCAGCGTAGTATCGACAACATTGCTTGTATAAAAAGTGTGATGAACATTACATACGTGGCAAGACTCTTGGCGGCCATTTTGAATGTCATAGTCAAAACATAGAAGATTGTATGTGTACCGGCAGTTTTGAACAATCTATTCAGGAAAGCTGGCTCTCTTTAGAAGCACACTTACATCAAAATCACAGTACACAACATATGGATATTAAAAATGACGAAGCACAGTTAAAAACCGGTATTGTGGAATACCCTGTGCAAAAAGGAATCGTTCACTCCACTGCCTTCTCTGATGATTAATTAATCGTCAAATTAATTATTTTCTTTCATACACCAGACTTACCTGGGAAAAGTCACGTATGGCATGCACACGTACATGCACACGTACTTTAACTACATGTACATGTATATGGCATATATCTGCTTTAGTGGGAATTTGGAATAACTAAATAACTGAATATTTGAATATTCGATTGCATGGAAGGTAGAGTATTTGAAAAGTTAATTAGTCGATTTAATTGGCTCAGCCCTACAAGTTAGGAGAGAATTATTTCCCCTTGTTGGCCAAAGGCCGGTCGTATGCATAATAAATACTTCCAAAGAAAAAATCTGCACTTAGGCCTTAAAAAAAAAAAAGTTATGTTGGCGTAACGGGCCAGAAAAAATAGGGTAGGTAGGTCGGTGTTTTTTTTTTTTTTTTTTTTTTTTTTTATAATCCCAGCAACGAAAATGACATTAAGCCGGTAGTAGTACACGATAACAAAAGAAAACAAGGCTCATCATCAACCTTTCTAAAGGTACATATCAAAAAGCGGAATCCAAAATCAGACAAAATGTTAGCCGTTTCATCTGCATCGACATCTTTATATGGACCCGATTCTTCCTTTGAAGTTTGTATTTTTAGCACGGTGTAACCCGCTTTTACACCATCGGCACAGCTCTGGGCGATTACCTATACCCCCAGTTCTTGACTCAAATTTATCCGAATTAAACGGTCGAAAATGACCGAAGATCCCCATTTGCCCTTGATGGAAACCTGTATGCTTCGGTATCGGGCCGGGCGCCATGATGCGACGGCGTACGCGCGTAACACCGGGCTGCGCCGAGGGCCGGCCGGGTCGCGTCGGCCGCCGGGGTTACAGAATAGTTTACCATTTTTAGAATAAATATATATCAATTGTTATCGTGTAAAATAGTGGAAAATTAATTAAAATAATTTATATTATAATGAACTATTTTTTTAAACATGGAATAAATAGCGAAGTATTTTCAATAGTGTATGTAGCAGTCTAGGACGAGGCTATACATGTACTGTACATGCATGCATGGTGCATGGATCTCCGCACGCGCACTGCCTGTACGTAGGCCTGCGCGATCTTCTGCATGTTCGTTGTGTCATGGAGAGGAAGGTGCAAAACATTGTGCACTCCAAAGTTCCACGCGCGCTATCGTCATACAATTGAGGAGAAACGGTCAGAAATGGTTTCAAAACGTATTTAAAATTCATTTCTATAGATTTTAATTATATTTCTTCCCTTCCAAAAAAAAAAAATATCCAGGGTCGGCCGCATTTTTAGGGTCGGTCGGGTTACGCCAACATAACACTTTTTTTTTTTAGGCCTTATTTGTGAGATGATGCGATCATACTTTTTAAATGTATTTCTCAAATAATTTATCTACATTTAAGGTTTTTTTTGGTTTAAAAAATAACTGTTTGTTGTTTGAGTCCCAATTTATCATTCATGAGCAATCTTAGGAAATTTTATGAATAGTGGAAATTCTCTCCTGCCCCTTTAAAGGTAGAGTGCATCATTTGTAATTTCTGCATTGTTTTCGTTTGAAGTAACAAAAATGCTTAAATCTAAAGAAGGGTGCTAAACAACTAATTTGATGAAGTGTTAACTCGGTGAATGCTGTATATTCTGAGAAAACAATATTCTAGGAACTTGTTTTCAAATCAAAAGTTTGAGAGTGCAGTTACGCGACATCTCGTGCTCATGTGCGTCCTGTCAACGGTTGCGTGTACTCATTCACGGCTTCGCCGAATAAAAACCAAACTGCCAAAAATGCATCTTCAGATGCATCGTTGGAAATGACCTCCTCTCATTGTTTTCTTCGAAATGACAGCTTGCCAGAAAAAATCATTTCACAGGGAGTTTAGTCCCATTACTATCTTTAAACCAAGTATGTTTTTGAAAAAAAATATTTAGCTTCAATTGATGGACTATACCTTTAAGCGTACCTGAAATTCTGTGTAAAACTTGAAAAGCCAACTTTTTAACACTTAAGGTATTTTGGCAAAGAACAGTAGCTTGTATATGAGTAGAAATATGCTATATATATGCACGGTGAAACATTGATTCTATTCTGCATATTTCACATGACAAAGGTCACATAACAGTTATGGCCCAGCCTGCCATCCAGTGGTAAGTTAGGAAATGTTAGGAATCAGTTAATATAGGAATCATTTGGGGATGTTAGGATTTGGTCAGAATAGATTAGGACTAGTTGAGAATTTGTTAGAACTTATTCAGATTTCAATCATTGTCCAATCATGCATTGAACACCTATGATCATGGACTTGCTGTCATTTATGCAGCAGTGTGTAGTTCCCACAATTATGGAACAAGTGGGTGTTTATGTATCAGTGCAGCGTTCATCAGTTGCTCATTTTCTTTTAAACGTTAACATTTGATTAACTTGAAACTTAAAAGAAAGTAAGGAACATTAACCCTGATCCACAGGTGTGCATATTACTTTG